GCTCAATTCCTCTCCGCGTGCTTCGGAAGAGGAAACAGATAAAAGAAGCCCTCCTGCCCGCTCCCGCCCTCGCCCCTTGCTTGCTTTGCTCTCGTCCACGCAGCGCGTGACGCAGGGGAGGAGGGCCTCCCTCCGCCGCCCTCCCTCCCACCTCCACCGGCCTGCTCCTGGAGGCCCCGCTGCGAGCCGTGTCCTCCTGGCCTGCTCCACCCCCTTCCCCCAGCCCCGCACGACTCTCGCAGTCCCAATCGACACACTCGGATGCCCCCTCCTCCCGCCCCAGTACGGCATCTGTCAAGATGTACTCGAGTCCGAAGGGCTGCTGCGGGGTGGGGGTCCTTTTCGCCGGAGAGAGGAGGCGAGATGGACTCCAGACCGGATATCAGCCTGCCGTTCCACTCCGGGATCGAGATTTCTCCCAAAACTCGGGCGGCAGCAGCGCAGCAGCAGCTTCGAGTGAGTTCGGACGCGCTCCGGTGCGCACGCCGAGGCCAGGCGGCATGGCCCTTTAGCCCTGCGACGGGGCGGGGCGGGGCGTGGGACTGCCCTTCCCAGCCGGGCACGTAGGAGAGACTCACGCGACCAGAGCGTCAGCGTCGCGACCCCACTAAACTGTCCGAATAATGACTCTCGGCGACCTTTTCCTTTTCTTTCCCCTCCTAATGTGTGGCCCCGGGTGACCTCCCTCTCCCTCTCCCTCTCCCTCTTCGTCTCCCTCTCCCTCTCCCTCTCCCTCTCCCTCTCCACCGGCCTCGCCCAGCGGAGCATTCATTCCGCCAGCGTCCGCCCATTACAGCGCGGCCGCAGCGAGCAGACCCAGACGGCTGATGTCGACGTCGTCGTCCTGTCGCTGCGATTTCCCAGGTGCAGGACGAGGAGGAGGAGGAGGGGGCGTTGTGAGACTCTCCGCCGCCACTTACCATGCACACCCTCCCCCTCTCCCTCTCACGCTCCACACCGCTGCTCCCCCACGACTACCCAAGGGGCGCTGTGCCGCCGCCTCATTGGACGAGTAGAATGACTACCGGCGAGCCTTGTGCGGTCGAGTGTTGGGGACCCCCTCCTCCCTCACCCACCCAGACCCGGACCACACCATTAGCACCTGCCAAACGTCAGCACCCCCTACAGTCTGCCTTCCGGGTCGTGCCACCCCCCGCCCCCGCCCTCCTCTCTCTCTCCCTCTCCCTCTATCTTTCTCTCCCGCTCCCTCATTCACTCACACACGAGGACTGCGCCTGCCATTGGATTTTACGAGGAGAGTTAGAAGTGATCGCTGGTGCCACCGCGCCGGGTCTGGCTCGTTGGCTCGTATTCACGCTCCCTGAGCTGAGCCGGCAGCGGGTCTGCGCTGACTTCTTCCATACCCGCTCGTGCTATTATCCTTGACACACTTCTGCAACACTTTTGCGAATTGACGAATCTGGGCGGCAGTGGCTCGGTCTCATCCGGCGGAGGTCAACCCCGCCCGGTTGCCGCCCCCGACCTCCGCTGCAACGCTTGGCGCAGCAGCTAGTCAGCTCCCGCCCCTCCACGGCCTCGGTGGGGCCTCCCCGCCCCCGCCAAATCGCATTTCACAACGAGGGGGCGCCGGGGGGAAGAGAGAAACTTTGCGCTGCTGACCGGTTGTTCGGTCCCTGCGGAGATCCGCAGCAGACTTTTTCCCGAATCTGAAATACTAAAGCAAACTTTTAGAGTAGCAGTCTCGACGGGGCGCTGGGGGCGCGGAGCGGGCGGGGCGCGAGGCCAAGGGCAGAGGCCGCGATCTCAGCCCCGCTGCCGGCGCTAAACGGCTGCCGCATCAGGCTCCCCTTCCACACCTCGCGGTGCCACCAGAAAAGAAACAGAGAATATGAAGCAACTCTTGCTACTACTTATTCACATACTTGGCCTAGTTCTAATACGGTCTGTGGCCTGCGCGCAGGTACATCAAACTGTCCTCGCCGAGGCTAAACAACATGGCAGCCGTGGGATGCGTGCTGGTGTACGCCGCCGTCATCCTGCTGGGCATCGACCACGCCACCCTGCCCAACAGCGCGCCCTTCTCCGCCGTCTGCACGGTCAGGACATCAAATCTAGATATTTCCTCCATAAATTATACTATGCATCCAGAAATTTTGAATTATTTTTTCTGCCTTTCCTAGGCCCGGGTGTACTTGCTGTCGGCGGGCTTCTCGCTCGCGTTCGGCTCCATGTTCACCAAGACGTACCGGGTGCACCGGATCTTCACCATGAGCTACGGCTGCTACAGCGGAAGCAAGAAAAAGGTAGGACCAGCACAACCACTGTTCTATTGCAGAAAGACAGAGATGAGTTCACTGGAAAAACAAAAGTGCTAATTCCTACCTTTTAAAAGCACCAAAGGTGTAGTGCCATTAATTTTTAACACATTTCAGTCACTATAAACTGAAATTTCCTGTGACACCTCTGGAAAAGCACGACTTTGCACCTTTGTTTCTCCATTTAGTTCCGTCCGTCGTTTCCCCTCGCGGAACACGTTACTTTACGCATAGGGTGCTGCCGTCATCACGCATGGAATGCATCGCAATGCAGAATAGCATATTATTACAAAAGACAACAATAGAGTACAACCTGAATGCACAATGGCTTGCAGGCGGCCTGCAGCTGGCAGCCATAATGTGGCACGCATGGCTGCGGCCCCACGGCGCTACCAGGCTGGCGCTGCTGGAACAGGGTGTGTGTGCGGCCAGCGAGTTGGCAGTGACAGGGCTGTTGTAGCGGTCGGGCTGTGCGTGCCGTGCGGACCAACAGCCCACGAGGGTTCTGTTGAGTGATCCTCCCCCCGCCCCCACTACTCCCCGACCCGCGCGGGCCGGCGGCAGCGAGCACGACGCCAGCGCGCCCGCGCCAGCAGCAACACCAGCGGTGCCGACGACAGTTCCTACCGAACGGTGTCGGATAGAGGAGCCGCACTGGTGGTCGCCGCCGTGCCTGCGTCCCCTTACCCCTCCA